TCCATGAACCTCAGAGTCCTCATTTCTAAAATGGAGATAATACACTTACCTTGCACAATTTTAAGGATTAGAAGATAATGGATGCAGAGTACTCAATACAGGTCCTACACAGAGCAGGAACAGAAAGGAGCCTATGAATAATTCCAAAGGCACTCCTGCCTGCAGGAGGAAGACCCAGGCGTGATTTAGGGCAGTACCCATCTAAGGCATCTTATGCTAAGGCCTCAAATTCCTCATACAATGGTCATATCAGGTACCCAGGAAATATCCCTGGATGGGAAAGGAAACCCAAGGTGGTTGTGGTCGCTGGGATGTTGGGTCCAAGGCCTGCAGTCAGAGGCTGGCAACTGCTGAGTCAGGCCTGCGAGAGCTGGCAAAAGGGCCATTTCACTCCCCAGCATACTACCCACTGAAGGAAGGTTGGGAGGGAGCCAGAGGTCATTTCCTCTTACTCAGAGGCCAGTCTCCTCCCAGAGGAGCTCCTCTGGAGTACAGAGCATCTCCATGTGGCGCTGGCCTGCCTGTTGGCCAACCTGCATGTCACCCAATACAGTCTGGGCTTTGTGCTCAGACAAGAAAGGGACATTTGTGATCCAGACAGTGGGCCGGGGTGCTCCCATTTGGCCCGGGCTTTAGCTTCCCTGGGTCAGCAATGTCCTTTCCTCTGCTCCTGCCCACACTGCTCCCACCCTTCCCTGGAGAATAGTGGCTTGGAACATGAAGCAGAGACCCACCGCCGGCCCAAACCGCGGTCTGGCACATGCCCTAGCCATGAGGAGGAAGGATGAGAGCTTCTTTCCTCTCCCCTGGTAAGGAACCCTCTGGGCCATTCAACTCGGGTCAGGCCATTTTGCAGGCGGGTGGTGGTAATGGTGGTGGCTGGGCACAGACCCGGGACCCAGCCTCCACGTCTCCTCCTACCGCTGCAAGCCCAGAGACTGGGCCGCCCCCACGTTTGCGGCCACACCAGGAGCCCTGCAGCGACGACTGCAGCCACGTGGGATCCAGCTCGTGCCCACGGGGCCGATTGCCCCCACCCCCACCCTCGACGAGGTATGGAGGCAGACACACCCCGACAGGCCAGAGAATCTAAGTTCACCCACCGCGAGAGGGGGAGTCCCCGCACCCCGTCTCTTCTTGCGCCCCCGGGGATGCGGCCCCGCGTGGGGGAGGTGTGGGAGGGGGCATCGCCGCCCCGCAGTCGCGTTGCCGGGGAGCGCAACCCCGTTGCCGTGGCAACCGTTTCCAAGCGAACCGGTGCTGCGCCCCACTCTGGCTCCCTCGTTCACTGGCGCCCTCCCTCTCCCTCCCTCCCTTTTCCCCTCCTTCCCTCCCTCTGGTGTGGGCTGGGGGAGGACCTGGCCGGGGTGGGGGTGGGGGTCCGGGGCGGCGACCCGGGGCCAGAGCGCGGAGCTGCCGCGGGGAGGGGCTCAGCCCGGGACCATCTTCCGTCCGCGCTCTGGGCCCGTACGGCCTGCCGCCGCCGCCGCAGTACTCACGGGCCCGGGCATCCTCCTCGAGCTCGTCCTCCTGGCTCGGGGCAAGCGGCGCGGGCCCCGCGGACGGAGCCACCGGCCTGGGGGACGCGGCGGCGGCCGCCGAGAGCTGGCTGTAGCAGCGAACGCGGCTCCGAGCGCTGGGCTGGAGCTGCGGAGCGCGCGCACGGGCGCGTACACGGCACCTCCCAAGCCCGGCGTGCGCGCGCGCGGCGGCCGCCAGAGGGCTCCCACCCCCCCCACCATTCGCGGCCGAGAAGGTTGTCCCGGGAGCCAAAGGCCGACGACCCGGCACCCACCTGCCGCGCCCGAGACTCGCGAGCAGCGCGCCAGGCACACCCGGCACAGGAAACGCCTCACAGCTCAGGACAACAGGGTGTTCGGAACGGGCACACGCAGGCAGACCTGGTGCATATTGTCAGCGGAGCACACAGGAGCAGCTTAGAGAACCCTGACACCCACACACAGCTCAGCCCGGGAAGCACACACGACCAGGCCCCGAACACATCCTGAAAGTCACTGGACACACGCAGTGGACAGTGGTGGTTACAGGTAGGTGCCCCAAGTCACGGCGGCTCCCATGGTGTCCCCAGCAAGCACACATCACCACCTGCCTAGAAAGAAGTATTACAGGGAGGACAGCCTAGTGCTGGACCCACAGCTGCGGCCTCCAGACCCTGCTCATCCCCAGGGAACACAGGTGAACCCTCCTAAGGGCCCCAGTGTCTAGGTTCTGAGCCTGAACCTTGTTGTTACCATCTTTTTACTGGGTTGTTTCTAGTCGCAACTTCTCTACCACCCTAGGATGACCCAAAAGCACCCTCCACCACATCAGGAGGGACATTTTGGGTTGCAAGTGACAGAACCCAAAAACGGGCTTCAGTCCAAAGGTATTTGGCTCAGGTAACTGGGAAGTCTAGCCATGGGTGAGATTTTAGCTGTGCTCACAGTTGGTTCCAGGTGTTCCAGCAGTGAGTGGCACCAGACATGTATCTGTTCTCTCCACTCTGCTCCCTTCCGTTTTACATCATTTCCAGGAAATTTTTCCCATGTGGTGGTGAGGATGACCCCACAGCTCTAGGCTTTTACCCTGCCACCCACCATCACTGAGGGCAACTCATTGCACCCTATAGGTGCCATTGTAATGGGCCTGGGAATCCAAGAGTTGCTCCCTCAGCCCACAGTGGGCAGGTCTCCAACCTGGGCTTTCATACTTCTTTGATTTGGAGTCAGGCTTAATGATGCAAAGATACAAAAATGGCTGTGGCATCTTGTTTCAAAGAATGAGAGCTGTCACAGTTCTGGTTCTTCCTATCAGTTCCCCCCTTAGCACTTCCATCACTTGCAACAAAAGATCCCTAACAGGCCATTTGGGTCACATGCCCTCGGTGTATGAGTACACTGGGGGTGCAAGTCCAGCTCCATTTAAACCACATGAACTGAGGGGTTCCCCAAAGGACACGTGGGGTGCTTTTGTACAAGCTAGGCAGACACCCTGGCACAACCAGTTAAAACCCTTCAGAGATTACCCCTCATTCCAGATGAGACTCGTATCCACACAGCTTTCAAAGCCGTGTGCCTATCTTCTTACTGACCCTGGCTCCAGCCACTCCCTCCTTCCACCCCTCATCCACCCCATCCCACATTCAACCACTCTAAACCACTAGAGGTTCTAGACCATCCATCTGGCTCCACCTGGGCACAACAGGTTGTGTCTTGGAGGGCACTACCTCTGACAAGCTTTGTGACCACAGACTCCCCTGCTTGTCCCCAGGCCCAGGCCTGTATCAGTCCCAGACCCACTAGATGTAGAATCGTCTCTGCCACAGTGCTGATTGCACTTGACCCAACTGTTCCCATGTCTGCCTCCCCACCAGACTGAGCTCCAAGTTGGCAGGGGCCTCAATCCCACCTGGGTCCCCAGCTCCTACCATAGTGCTGGATGGAGACGCAGTGAGCTTAGAGAGGGATGCCGGGAAGTGAATTCTGGGTTTCCTCTGCCAAGGATCCACTGTGGTAAGGGCTTTAAGGAGAGCTGAACCCTAGCCAAGAAGTTCCCTGGGCTCCTACCTGGCTCAAGGGAGTGCTGAGTGGGAGGTTCAAACCCACCTGCAGGCAGAGTGCCCCAGGGACCTGCCCACTGTGGCACCCATTCACCCTTACCCATCTGCCCAGGGCTGGGCTCCAGCCTCTGCACACTAGTACCTACATAACTGCCTTCCCCAACAGAGCCTGAAGCAGAGAGGCAAATGCACTCTGGGCCCCAACCTCACAGAATCTAGATTCACCTTCAGCTGGCTTCCCCTCTACCCTACAATGGCCACTTACCAGCAGAAGACCTTGAGCGAGGTCCTCTCCTTACCCTGTTTCCCTCAAGTTAATAGACACAGCAAAGCATGCTCTGTATACCATCAAGAGTTGGGATTGCACTAGAGGCCCCTTCTGCTAAATTGGTGCATGGAGCCTCCCCACTGCCCTTGATAGCTGTTAGCTTGGCACCCAGCATCCACTCCTCTAACAGGCAAAAGTTCTGCCAGTGACCCAGGGGCTCAAAGGCATGACTGGCTGCTTTGGTGGGTTCTTCTAGTCGCCCTATGAGGCCATGGGTATCACAGCTATCTTTCCAGACAAGGAAGGTGCCTATGCAAAGCCAGCTTGAAAAGTGGCCAGGTTGAAACTTGAACCCAAAAGTGTCCAGTTGCAAAGCTCATGTGACCTCTGTAGCACTGGATGCCCAGCCCAAAGGCCAGGAACAAATCCCTGGGGGCTGGGACGACTGGAAGGATATGGAGCAACAACAGGTTTGTGGAGTCTAGGACAGACCTGTGGCCAACAGGCTATCACCCCCAAGTCTTTGCATAAGTGAAATGCTATGAGATGCTCCCCAACCCCTTTCTGTTACCCAGATGAATACGTCTCCTTCAAGGGCTGGCTCAACTGCTACCTTCAGAGAAACTTCCCTGGTGCCCATGTAGCTGCTCCCTACCCAGCTCTCACCCATCCTAACTCCCAACATCACTCTGTCTCATCTCTGCCCAGCCACATTTCAAGGACAGAGCAGATGGATGGCTTTAATATTGCAGTCCTGGGCAGAGCACACAGCAGGTGTCCAGATAAAACCAAGTAGGTGTTCTTAACAGGGCCTTCCACCTCACTCCCAGACCACTCCAAGCCCATGACTGGTGGCCAGGCCACCTTGGGCTCGGAGGGAACACCACCAGCCGAGCCTTCTTCTCCAGCACAGGCAAAGCCAGGCCCATACCCTAGTGGGGACTGAGGGCTTCTTACTTCAGGCCTCATCTCATTTAGGAAGCTGAGAAACCCAATGACCTGGCTGCCTGGAGAAGCTACCCCAAGATCAGCCCTGGGGATTCCTGGTCATTGCTGGAAAGGTAGCCCCCACCAGGCCTACCTCTAGTCCCTTCCCACTTCCAACAGGGCCAGGGAAGCAAGAAAATCCCTGGAGCACCAGGAGCAAGAAAGAGGCAGGCAGGGGCAGCTGGCCAGGTTTGTCCTCGGACTGTATTCACACAGAGACACGTGGCAGCTTACAATGGACAAAATGAGTAATAAAAATTGGCTTTAAATATGGAAAACCAGGGCCCTGTAATCCCATATCCCGTGCTACCCTAAACACTGGGATCAGGATGGCCATCACAGTCTGGAAAGAGCCAGGGCTGGGGCCTGGGGCACAGGCACAAAGCCTCAGCCTACCCTTACACACACACACACACACACACACTCGTGCACATGCACACACCCCACGGGCACACACAGGGAGGGGCAGATTATTGCTGGGCACATATGTATTGTTATGAGGGGAGTCTGGAATGTTTTGAGGGTTGGCCAGGGACACCTTCCCCTTCCCATGGTCTGGACTCAGGTGTTTCTACAAGAGGTGTCTCAGGACAGGGCCCAGCACAAGGAATGAGGTGCCCTGGGAGCTGGAAGGCAGAGGCAGACCTGTCTAGGACAGCCTAGGCAGTGGACTGAGGGGTCCCAGGATCAGCCCAATCTTGGGTCACACTTTGGCAAAGGCCTAGGGGATACAGAGGCCCCAGATCCAGTTCTGACAAGTGCTGAGAAGGGCAGCATCGGACCCCAGAGGCGGTGGCCTAAGCCCAGGGCAGCAAGAGCAGGCACAAGTCTCACTTGGAAGTCAGTGGTGCTGAGCACAGTGCTGGGGGTCAGAGGCCCGGCCTGGCCTGGCCCAGCTTTGGCCCATTCAAGCTAGGCCAGAGGAGCCTTGAGTTTGGCAGTGGCCCCTCTGCCAGCTCCAGGGTGGGTCTTAAGAATACTCTGGTTGCTATATACATTCATACAAATACATAAATACAGAAAGCCCCGAGCTCCACAGACAAGAGCTGAAGGGACGCACCTTTGTCCCAGGGACAGCCCAGGCCTTGCCAAACCCAGCCAGACCAGAGGCTGAGGGGCAGAGGACACCAGGGACAGCTCCGGCTGTATTCCCCAGGCCACGACTTGAGTGGACAATGGGGAAGACCACTGTGCAAAACTGTAAACAGTGCTCTGATAGCTGCTACCGCCAACCGCTGGTGTAGGCCTCGGGCTTGGGGCTAGAGGCGGGTGGGGAGCTCGAGGCGGGTAGGGAGCTCTTCCTCACTGTCGCTGCAGTTCCCACAGCAATCCTGGAGGGGTGGGGAAGACACAGAGGGAGAGAGGCAGAGCACGTGCCATTAGCCACCAGTGCTGTCACCTGGGCTGGCCCTGCCAGAGCAGGCTGGGAGCTGCCCGGGGCCATGCTTTAAGGATGGGGTCCCCATGAGGGGCCTAAAACAGTAGCTCAAGCCAGACACATGTGGACATCAGTGCAGAGGCTGCTGGGAACAGACTTAAGTAAGGGAGACCAGGAGGATCCCAGGCTCTGCCAGGGCAAAGCTCCATTCAGCTCCTCTCCCCTGGGCTGGTGGAGGCAGGGCACAGGGAGACAGATGGCTAAGCAAGGCCAGCAGCTTGAAGGTGCCAGGATGCAGGTAACGGAAGCGGGGGTGGGGGGTTGGGAGGGAGCGGGCACCAGACTTCTTTCGCCCACATCTTGCCTCTGCCATGGAAGGGCTGCCCGTGGCTCCCCGAGGCTAGGCAGCGAGGCCAACCCACGGGGAGCCCACACTGCTCACCTCTGGAAAAAGAAAAGAGGCTGTGAGCCCAGCCAGGGGTTGGGGACAGGCGGGAATGAGGCCAGACCCTGGATACCACTGGCATAGCTGGAGGATGCCCACTTCCAGCTCATGCGGGCACCAGCTCTGCCTCCCACCCACCATCCCCTGAAGCCAGCCTGGGGGGCCCAATAGGACACTGCTGGGGATTACCTGGCGACTGAAGAGTCTCTGTAGCAGCCCTTTCTTGGGGGGTGCAGGCGGCTGGCCCTTCCAGTCTAGGTCTGGGGGAACCGAGCCATCCAGCCCGAAAACGTTCAGCTCCTGGAAGCATTCAGTCTCCACCATCTGCCACAAAACAGGCAGCTATGAGAACTGCCCCCAGGGCCACCACCCTGCAGCTCACCCCAGCAGCTGGGCAGGCCCCCACCTCATTCTGCCAGGGGATGGGCACACTGCCCGTGGCAAACTTCTGATAGAAGTCCTGGTCGGTGGGTTCTAGCTCCACACCCTTAACTGTGGAAAACTGTTCAATGTCCAGAACATCCTTGCAGTAAATGGCCTGGGGCTAGGGGAACAGAGGCAGCAGTCAGATAGGAACACCACACACCCACACCCATACCCAAGGGAAGGCAGCTCAGCCCTGAGAATCACTCTAGCCTTGGCCTCGTTATGCCCTGACCCTTGCAACTCTCTGCTTTGAATTAGAAATCAGGAGCCCTGTGTACTTTGCAAGCACAGCAAACCCTTCTTAAATTAGGGACTGTTAGCCCTCTCTAATCACTGACCAATGAAGCTGTTGATGGTAGGCTTTTCCCAGGTGGCAGTACCTGACCCACTGAAGCCAGCCAGCCCCCACAGGACCTTGTGGAGACAGTATAGGCACCCCTCCACCTGCACACGACTGTCTAGGTGTGCAAGTGGTGAGGTGAACACAGGTTGAACTTTAGCTGACCTTTTCCGGTGGGCCCCTCATGCAGGGCCTGGAGCTAACAGGTCCTGTCCTGACATGTCCAATTGTTTGCCCCATCCTTTCATGCTTCATAGCCAACTAGAGAATGAGTCCTCCCACCTTCCCAAACCCCTAGGCCCTGCTGGGAGCCTACCTCACTGCAGGCGACCACTTTCTTTTTTATCTTTACATTGTTTCCTAAATCCTACTAAGGATGTTTATTAAAACATCATTGTGTAAAATGGTACAGCTGCTTTGGAAAACAGTCTGGCAGTACACAAAAGGTTAAACGCAGTGTTAGCACATGAACCAGCAATTCTACTCCTAAGTATATATCCAAGAGAAATGAAAACATATGTTCCCACAAAAACTTGTATGTGAATGTTCACAGCAACATTATTCATAATAGCCAAAAAGTGGAAACAATCCTAATGTCTATCTACTGATGAACAGATAAAGAAAATGTGGCATATTCATACAATGAAATATGATTCTGTCATAAAAAAGGCACAAAGTACTGATACATGCTGTAGTACTGATGAACCTTGAAAACATTGTGCAAAGTCAAAGAAGTCAGTCACAAAGGACCACATATTACATATTGTCTAACTCAATTTATATGAAATGCTCAGAATAAGCAAATACATAGAGACAGAAAGCAGATTATTGGTTGCAAGGGGCCAGGGGGAGGGGAGAATGGAGAGTGACAGTTAATGGGTATGGGATTTTTTTGGGGAGCGGGAGGGGTGATGAAAATGTTCTAAAATAAATCATGGTGATGGTTGCATAACCCTAGGTATGCTGAAAGCCATTTAATTACTCACTTTAAATGAGTGAATTGTACAATAAGTGAATTAAATCTCAATAAACCTATTAAAAACTGTATAATCATGTTTTTCATCTGTTGCTTCTAAGTGGTCAAACTCCAGTTTTTCTAATTTTGAATGAAAGACCCAGGGGCAGTGGGATGATTTCAAGGTTAATGAGATGACTGAAGGGGGGGCCAGAGTAAACTTGAGTGGTAGTGCCAGCCCCAAAGCAGGCCTCTGGACATCAGAGTCTCAGCTCAATCGCCCGCCCCAATGCCCACACTGCTGGTGATGGTGAGGCCTACAGGACACGGTCTTTCGCAGGCAGCAGGCTCCTAACTCGCTTCCTACTTCCACTCAGACTCCGACAGCTCACCCTGCCATATTTCACATTCCTACTTGACATTCCCCAAAGGCCCCCACCACACTCAGAATAAGACCACCAGACCCTTTCCCTGCATGCACTCACCACAGCCACACTGGCCTCCTCACTGCTGTTCTAGCTCTCAAAGCTGGTCCCTGCCCCAGGAGCTCAATGGCTGGCTGTTCCTTCTTGGAATTCTCACACCCCAATACTTGACACAGCTCTCTCTTTCAGTTATTTTAGGCTTCTGCTTAACCATCAGCTCCTCAGAGACCATCCTGTTTAAAAATACTCCCACAACACATCATTCTTTATCTTTTTCTTAGCCTGCTTTATTTTTTTTCTGTTGTATTTCATATTACCTGAAATTCTTTTTCATATAGTGGTTTATTTTGATGTGTCTCCCTATTAGAACATGAAGGCAGGATTGGGTCCTGTTGACCGCATTATCTCCAATATCTGACACATGAGCACTCAGATAATTGTTGAATGAATAAACAATCACATGTGCAGTTGACAGCCATCAACCTGGCCTGCCCATCACCTTCCTGCCTCACCAGTGTTCCTGGTGAACTGTCAATCACACACTCAGTTCTCTTACACCAGTGGTGGGGGGGGGTGGCAAGCACATGACCTAATCTTGGCCAATCAGAATCTTCCTTGTGACTTCATACATAGAAGCCTAAATTCAGTGGGAGAAGTCAACAGGCTGCAGCAGAGCCAAGAGATGGAGTCCTGGCAAGATGGCATGAAACACTGATGCTGGCCTTCCTCTGAGACTTTCTGGCCAAACAAATAAGCTTCATGTTGGCCATAATCAAACAAGTTGAGTTTCTGCCACTTGGAAGGTGACTTGAGGATGTTCCTGCCTGCAGGATGCCTGACCCACTGAGATGCTCGGCAAATGGGTGAGACGCTAAGGGGGTGGTCAGTGCTGCCGGGTGTGGTGGCAGCAGATTTTCTGCCAGCCCAACAGCCTTTATCCCGCTGGCAATGGAATCTTGGTTTTTCTTTGGGGAACTGATCTCCCCCATTGGCAGTGGTTCAGGTGGGCATGTGATCCCAGTATGGCCACTGGGAGCCCCTGAATAATCAGAGGCAATGAGCATCAGCCTTAGGAGTTTTTTCTCCTTTTTAGGACTTCTTTTGAAATTATTGGGTAAGAGGTACTCTCTGTCTACTGGGGTGGCTGAGCTAGTAGGATGTGAGCCTGAACTGCTGGGCCCACCACTGCCACACCCTAAGAGAGCTGCCTGAATGGAGACTGCACGTTGATCAGGTCAGTGGGGAGAGGAAGAAAGAGGATTCCTATAACACTGTTGGAGCCCTGGATCAGGTATGCCAAGAGACAGATCTACTCCGGGACTTTTCACTTTTGTGAACCCAGTGAGTTACCCATTTTGTTGGTTAAGACATTTGAGTTGGGTTTTCTAACACTTGCACTGAAGGTGGCCTGACATCCTCCAAGAGCCTGGACCCAAAGCCCCTGCCCTGGCCTGGCCCTGCCCTGAGCAGGAATGGGTGGCACTCACATCAGGCTTGAAGGGTGGCTCCTGCATGCCAGCTCCCAGACGCTTGAAGTTCAGCTTCTTGAAGAGGGCGTGCTCCTTCACCTCGCGGGCACCACCCCCACGACACCCCAGGCGCTCAGCAGGGTCCTTGCAGAGGAGCTGCAGCAGGGCAGGGCAAGTCAGGGTGACCTCTGGAGAGGTGTCCCCAGCCCTGGTCCTGGCCAGCCAGGCCTCCCGCCGGCTGCCATACCTGGGAGCAGAGCGAGCGGGCCTGTGGGGAAAAGCGCTCAGAGTACTCCTCAGGCACCTCCTTCACCAGCCGCTCCACCTCCTCCCGCTTGATCTTCTTCTTCCTCTGCTGGAAAGGCGACTGGCCTGCAATCATCTCGTACAGGAGGCAGCCTAGTGCCCACCAGTCTGGACTGAACATGTACCGTTCATTCTTCACCACCTCTGGAGCTGGACAGTTTGGAACGGGAGTTAGAGCTGGGCAGGAGGTGGGTACTGAGCCCTGGGACCCCAGGAATGCCCAGTGCACACCAAGGCAGGGGATCAGCTCAAAACATCCATCCATCTGCCAGGTAGAGTACATGCCCTGTCAGAGGGAGCTGACATGGCCCTGCAGGGAGCCAAGTCTTCTGATCTCTCAAGAGAAGTGAGGAATCTGTAGTTTTAATGTGAAGCTGTCTGGCTTATCGAATGTTGATGACAACCCATTCAGATTATTTTAGAAACAACTTGATTCAAATACAAATGTAGGCCTAATCAGGCCATGTGGCTACCAGTTTGCAACCATTAGATTTAAAATTAGAACAAGGAAAGGAGGACACTCATTTGCTGAATACCTACTGTCTGTCAATGCAGGTACCTGGGAATTTTTGCCTCTACTACCTCTTTTCATCTTCAAGGGAACCCTGGGAGAAGGTATGATGATTGCTTTAGGAAAGTGAGGCTGGAGAAGTGGAGTGTGTGGCCCAAGGACCCAGGACATACAAGCAAGGGGAGCAGCCTGTAGCCTGTAGCTGTCTACTGTGTCATGTGGTCACCAAGGGCAATATGGGGGTCACATCTTGGCCCCCACCACACACAGGCATGGGCACTCTACTCTCAGCATGTGCGGTTCAGGGTGGGGAAGGCTGGAGCCACAGAAACAGGTTTGAGTCCCTTCTCATTTTTCACTGGCGGCCACCTGTGGGCCCAGCCAATAGTAGCTCAGTATTTAGTGAGTGAACAATATGGATTCACAGGTGTGTAGGGCCCTAGATGAATCTTGGCCTCCTAATCTATAAAAAAGCAGTATCAGCTTTTTCTACTCCCTGGGGCACAGGAGACTCCCAAAGAGAAGTGGTAGTACTGGACCCAGCACAGCAAGGGGACCCAGGAGGCCAGTAGGAGACTCACCCATGTAGCCCACGGTGCCCACGCGGCCTTTGATGGTCTGGCCCTCAGGCACATGCACAGCCAACCCCAAGTCAGAGATGCGGATGTGACCTGAACGTGGGTGAAAAAGGGGGACCAATTAAGCAGGTGGACCAGACCCCACCCCACTCCACGCCACCTCTGCAGCCCCCCACCCACCGTGGTCATCCAACAGGATGTTCTCTGGCTTCAGGTCCCTGTGGAGAAAAAAGAACAGGGTCAGATGCTGCTCAGTTTGCTGGGCAGCCAGATGGGGCCACCCCCTCCCATCTGGCTTGTGTCCTGGGATGGCATGTGGAGCAAGGTGCAGGAGCCACTTGCTGCTAGGGAAACAGCCCTGTCCCCCCCCCAGCAGCAGCCCCAACTCAAGGAAATAACTGAAGGGCCTACAGGGCCAGGACTCCCAGGACTCACTAGGTAGGTGGAAGGCAGCTCGCACCAAGGGAAGCTCCCCAGATGTCACCAAGTAGCCTTGCTCACCCCTGGTGTCATGGGGCTCCCACCTTCCCCTTCTTTGTTGGCTGACTCTACTTTCTTGTCCATCAAATGGAGTTACTCATCCATCCCCTCACAGGGCTGTGAAGCTAAACAAAATCACTACCAATAACAAGTATAGCTCCCTAGTTGAGCCCTGTGCACCCCACTCCATGCACTTTACTGAACCATCTCATTTGGTCTTTGTAACAACGTGCACAGCAAGAATTATCATCTCTGCTTCCCAAGAAAGGAAATGTCGTTGGGAGCAGGAACCTGACTGACCCAATGTCACAAAGAAAGGTGTGACAACATCAGGACTCACACACAGGTCAGCCAGACCTCAGGACCTGGGTTCTGAGCATCTAAAATCTGCCTAGCATGGGCAAGCATGGAGCCATGAGTCAGGGTCTGGCAGGGTTCAGACAGGCTTATCTTGCAGCGACAGCCCCAGCACACCAATAACCTTCCACAGCCTCCGCCACATGCAGCAGGGAGGGCCAAAGCCTGAACCTGTACACGATGCGCTCCCGGTGCAGGTCCTCCAGGCCACAGCAGATCTCTGCGGCGTAGAAGATGGCCCGTGCCTCAGGAAAGCCAGCCTGGCCCATGTGGTAAATGTGGAACTTAAGGTCACCTCCGTTCATCAGCGTCAGTACCAGGCACAGCGCATCCTTGGTCTCATAGGCATAGGCCAAGCTCACCTGTGGCGAAGGGACCCAAGCCCTCAAGCAGGAGCCACAGGCAACGTGGTGGCAGGGCTGCTGCCAACCACCCCAAAAAATCCTTCTCAGTGCCACTCCTTTGGGGCCCAGCCTGCTTCCCAAGCCTGGTGTCAACATCCCAAACACGCCCTTCGCAGGCATCTCCCAGGCCAGGGAGGGTGGGAAGAGACCTTAGCCTGATGAGTGAGGAGGGCAGGGTAAGCGCATGGCCAGGGGGCAGAGAGAGATCTCCTGTCTGTACTTACTACAAACCTACTGTTCACTTTCTCCAGGATCTGCTTCTCATTGAGTGCCATGGCCTCCCCTTTCCGCTTCTTAATCCGCTTCTTCTCCAGCTTCTTGCAAGCGTACATTTTGCCTGTTGCCCGCACCTGGCAGGCACACACCTATAGCCAGGGTAGTTGGGAAAAACAGGGACCAGTTGTGCCCTTCCTGGGAGTCCAGGGGCTCAGAGCTGGAAAGGCCCTGGACCAGCCTACCCCACTTCCACACAATGCCAGGGAACTCTGGCCTGGCTACTTACCTCTCCAAAGCCACCTTTGCCCAGAACTCGGTACTGCCTGAAGGTATTTTTGGTCACGGGCTGCCTGTGAGCAAGGGGTTGGAGAGCACATGCTGGTTGAGCAAGGCCTGGGAGAACCCCAGCAACCTGGCTACTCAGTTCGAGCCATCAAGTTGCTCACCTTTCCAGCCACTTCCACTGCAGGAAACGGTTGAAGTAGATGCTGTCGAGGTAGTCGGCAAAAGGGGCCATGCTCAGGTACTCATGGGTCAGCCTGTTGAGAAGGCCCAGCCTGCCAGTCAGCCTGACACCCCAGGTTCTCAGCTTGATGGGCCAGGCCCTGTTATGTGCATACTCATCCCAAAAGGCAACACCTCAGCCAACCCTCCTGCTAACCCACCTAGACAGGAGACACACACACCCATGCTATAGCTGAATAAGCTACAGAGAGGGGAAGCAACCTGCCCAAGGTCACACAGCAGGGGCAACCCTGGGGTAAGAGGCTAAGCTCCCTCACCAGCTGCTGAGCTGTTCACAACCTCTGGGCCCACAGAAGCTCCCTCCTTGGGACACAATTCCAGGCCCAGGGCCAGTGACAGCTTACCGGGTGAGCTCCTGGAAGAGGTCTTTGCAGGGCCCCTGCTCCAGCTGCTGGGTGCAGTTAGTCACCAGTTGCCAGGGGACCTCAGGGATAAGGTCAGGACCCTGAGGACAGGCCGCAGACAGGTGAGTGTAGGTGGCTCCCTTAGCCAGTGTCCCACTACCAGGTCATAAATGGCAGACATCTCAAGCCCATGTTAGGGACAACTGTAGCCAGTAGTGCACCAGCCCTGCCTGGTTGCTGAACTCAGTTCCTGTAGCTACCCTTGAGGCAGGGTGAAGCAGAGCCACTGGCAGCCTGCCTGGCCCAGAGCCCGGGCCCACCCTCCTGGGCTCCATGCCCACAGGGCTGGCTGGTGAGCTGAAGCAGCGCCAGGGCACTCTCTGTGGTCATTCCTCTCCCTATCACTGCGCTCTCCCCACTGCTGTCATCCTTCCATCACTGCTCACTCACCGTGTGGCTCAGAAAATTCTGCATTAGCCGCCGCCCACACGCCTTCCGCTTCTCATCAGGGGTCACTTCATACTCGGCCTGCAGGGTGGAAGGCAGAGAAGCCTAGGGTCTGGGCTGAGTGACAGGTATAGAGAAATGGGGCACACATGGCCCAGGACCTCTGCCCACCCTTGGTGTTGGGCTGGGCCTCACTCACCACCCCATCCAGGAAGGCAATGCAGCGCATAAGCTCAGGCCTCGTTGCACAGAACTCTCGGAACAGTAGGCGCCCAATAGGCTGCCGCTCACACAAGCTATGGTAGTCACGCTCTGCAAGCAGAGGTGGGAACTGCTGGGTCCCAGACCTAGAGCCTGCCAGTGGGGCACTCCTGCCCATACCACCAGGCCCTGGGGCCCCCACAGCTTCCAGCCCTGCAGTATGGCAGCCACTATCTCTTCTGGAACCCACACCACAACACTGAGGTGGACATACTCTTATTCCCATCATAGCTTGGGTCTCTGAGGCCCAGAGAGGCTAACTTATTTGCCCAATATCACAAAGCCAGGAATGTGACCCCAGAGCAGGGGCCTTTACCTCCCCCTGCTATCTTCCAGTTCACACCAGTTGTATACGTCACAGTACTGGGGTTGGGTGTGGTCTGTGAGGTTCCGGCTGGCTCGGGCCAGGCCCAAACCTGCTGCCTGCCTGGCGAAAGTGCAGGAGGAAGCTGTGGCTTCCGGCAAGCTTGAGGCTAGGCCTCCTTCCCAGGCGGTAGAAGCAGCCATGGTATGCTCCCTGCCCACGTGCATGCTTAGAGGGGGCCTGGGCAACTGTGGGTGCTGCTTGGACCTAGGGACTCAGCCAAGATAAGCAGGAACTAGAGTCCTGGAGCCTTCTGGTCAAGCTTTGGTGGGCCCTCCCCAGGGCTGGGCTGAGCACAGGCCTCGGGCTCCCAACGCAATCTGTGGGCTGGCTCTGACTCCAACTGAGCCCTCTGTCCCATTCACCATAGGCCTGGCCCTCCCTTCCTCTGCTTCTCTCAGGTTGCCCCAAATCTGACCCTGCCCTACTCCCCATGCCCACCCCAACCACCCCTGCTGTCCGGTTTGCTCTCTGTCCTCCACCCATCTCAAGCCCAGGAACTGAAACTGGGGTGGGTTGGGCAGCCTCAATCTTCCTGCTCCCGGGACACCCCTGCTGACCCTGCCCCCCTGCCCCACAGCAAGGTCTCAGGGGAGGCTCCCTCCAGCACCAGCAGGTCCCCCTTGCCTCAGCACACCCCTCCCCCTCCCCAGTCTCCACCCAGGCCTCACCAAGGCTGAGCCTCAGCTCTTCACACTGGCTGATATGGGGGAACTGCAGCATCTGTCGCCATTTCTTGCTTTTACCTTTGCGATTCCCGCCACCACCTGTGGGAACAAACAGGTGCTGGGTCTCGAGTCCTGCCGCCATTGTGCCTGCACTCAAAGGTTCAGGATTAAAGTCTGGAGCCTACTTTACTTCAGGAGGCCCCTCGGGCCTTCCTCGCACGTGCTCCAACATACCCACACGGGGTTCCAGGAGGGTTGGTCCCCTGGACCCTACTGCAGGGGCTCCTGGGCTGAAAGAGCTCAGAGGGGCAGTGAGGCCAGGCTGCTGGGGAAGCTTCAGCTGCTCCCTACCAGGTAGGAGTTTCCCAGGTAAAGAAAATAGAGAAGGACAGGACAGTGTAGGAACTGTTTTAAGTCATGCCCAGAAGGAAGAGACTCCAAGACATGTCCCACAGGCCAGAGGCAGAAGATAGGCTGGGTCACTGGGGAGGCTCCAGGGCCCTATTACTTGGCCCTGCATCAGAGATATCAGAGACTCAAACAAGACGGCGGCAGGAAGGCTGGCCCTCAGGATCCCCACCCTTGGACATAAGGGCTTCTTTGGCCCTGATACCTGCCTCATTTTACCTAGCTGAGCCTTGGATCTACAGCTGCTGAGACCACAGTAGGAGCTCAAATGCCTCCAAAGCCAGACAGGTATGGTAAATGTGAGCCCAAAGGAGGCAACAGGGGATGGTGGGGAGTATGGTGAACTGGACTGGGCATGCCTCCTTTAAGAGGAACAGCTACAGCACAATTCCAGCTCATTGTTTGATTGTTGCTAGATAGGAATGATGGCTCAGTGTGGCCAGTTCTTCTGATTTTTCAAAAGCAGCTGGGAATCTGGACTATTATATGAAATATTGGTTCCTATTAGAAAAAAAAAAAACCCTGCTGCAACCAAATAAATAAAACATGTTGAAGAGCTAGCCAGAGGTATTCCCTGGGCCACAAGTTTGAGAACAGTGGAAGGAACCTGAGTCTATGGGTCTCAGAGAACTGGGTTTGAATCTCCAATTTACACTTTGGGTCCATGCCTTGCTCTACATGAACCTCAACTTCTCCATGTGTACTCAGGTTCAATACCTCCAGAGGTGTTGTCAGGGTGACTAGGAAAGTCTGTGTCCAGCACCCAGTAGGGCTATGGCAAGAGGTGGACCACAGCTCCAACAACTCAATGGCAACCTCAGGCAACCACCTTCCCTTGCCTGGCCTCGGTTTCCCCTCTGCTTTCCCCAGCCTTGTTTCCCTTTGGCCTGGCTAGAGGCAGGTGGTGCAGGACTGACTTTTAGGGAGGGGCAGGACTGGATCCCTTGACGGGTTCTAGGACCTAAGGTGATGGAGGAGGAAGTGTTGAAGAGCACCCATTGAGAAACCTGCTAGCAGCCCTCCTGCGCCTGCTCCCCACATACCTTGCAGTCATTGCTCCACTGTGAAGGATCAGCAGCCCCCACCCCCAACCTGGGGCAAGGCCTCCCCAGAAAGGGAACTCCTCCCCCACCCCCACAAGTCCCTCACCCAACCCTCCATCCGCCTGCCCCCCACCAGTTACTTCCTCCTCTCCCTCCTCCCAGCCACATCAAGGCAGCAGCAGAGTCACATGCAAATATCCTGTCCTGGAACTGCCACCCAAGGAGTCAGGGGGGCTTCTCCCCACCCTAGCCTGGCCCCCTCCTTGTGCCTCTAGGCATGTGCGAAAGGAAAAAGGACTTAGTGAGGGCTCAGACCTCCAGGGCCACCTCACCTCATCCTCACAGCAACTCTGCCAGACTGGGCCCAATTTCATAAGAAAACTGAGACCCTGAACTGAGGAATTCAACCCATCCAAGATCACGAAGCCTAGAGGGTCCAGAGGCAGGATGTGAACCCAGCTTCCTGGGACCATGACCCAAGCTCCCTTCTCACCAGACATGCTGGGCACCTATTAGGTGTCATCCGAATACACATACCAAGGGTTCTCAAACCACTTAGGGCCTCAGATCACGGGAAGTTTACAAAGGCCCAGCTGCAAGCTGTCAGCTCATGATGGGATTCTGATGCAGTCAGTCTCTGAGCCAGGGTTCAGAACTCGGTGACAATCAGAATTTCCTTTAGTTTTCATATCCCATCCCCAGCCACTCCACCGAAAGGGTTACTGAAGTTCAGAGCGAAGAGACTTGTCTGAAGCCATGCAGGTGAAACGGGCAGAGCCAGGTTGCAGTAAGGGTTTTCAAGTGGAGGCACAGGCCGGGTCTGGCCATACTCCCCTAGGCCACACCCAGGGCCTAAGGAAGCCTGTCTGAAGGTGCTCACACTCTGGCCAGGCAAGGCAGTAGCTACAGCCCTAGGAAGAGAGGCCTGGTCAGGCTCTTCCCACCTCCCCCCTCCCTAGCTGGCTGAATGACGATGCAGAACAGAATCCACAGATGCCCCCAGAGGCCGGGAGGAAGGCCTAGCCCCCGGACTTGATAAGGGACAGGAGATAGGGAGGCTCTGAGCACTAAGGACCCAGCCTACCATGCCCATTTCCAGGCAGCACTGCTCTATGATCAACACCCACTAAACAGGAAGGGGGCACCAAATACTATGCTAGCTGGGGGCTCCTCTGAGCTTCCTACAGACCATGTTGGGGGTATTGTGTGTCCCAGTCTGCATCTGTTTCACACCTGTAAAATGGGGCAGAAAGGTGAAGCTGATGACCCTTTCAGCCTGGAAGACTAGCAAGGAGTGGAAAAACTGTCACAAGCTCACTGCCCTAGAGTTCCAAAAAGAAGGGTCTTGTTCATTACTGGTCCCCAGCCCTTTGGACAGGACAGGGAGTAGAATGGGTGTTTGGTGATTACGTTACTGACGTGGACAGGGGCAGCTGAGGGGTAGACTAACTACAAGGCAGTGAGGACCAGGTCTGGTAATTCTGTGTCCCCCACGCTCCCATAAAGCAGGTGCCTGGTAACATCTGGGGGTAGGAACCACACATTCACCAGACCTACTCCTTCTGCCAGGCCTTGCAGTTACAGTCCCACAAGCCTGGCACGCTCTCTTCCTTCAAAGCTCAGCGTCCACTTATTTCTGTGCCTGTTTGGCCCTCAAGACTCGTGGGCTTCCTAAGGGCAAAAACCGTGATCCATTCACCTCTTTCCTCAGTGTCCTGAGGCAATGGGCAAGTGACAGTCATGTTGGTAGCATTTGTGACAAGCAGTTTCCCAAGTCGAATGGGTTGTGCTATAGCAGAGGCTCCATTCATTCATTACCCAAACCTTTATCCTGTACTAACTTTGTGACGGTCCAGGCTGGGCGCGGGGTCTGGGCCCGGGGCAGGTAGGGTAGATTGCCCCTTCCCGGGGTATCTTCTCGCCTCCCACCTGGGAGAGGCCACAGAGAGGTTCTTCTGAAGCCCAAGTCCTACCCGTCCCTCTTCCTTCCTCTCTCCTTCCCTCACACCCCCTCTACTCCAACGCCGCGAGGGCGGCGGCCTGACTCCCGCCCCTTCCTGGGCCCCCGACTCCGCGGGGCAGGTACGAAGGAGGACAGCCGGCCGGAAAGACTCGTGTCTGCGCTAGGCGCGGGGCGCGGAGCGCGCTGCCCTAAGTGATGGGGCGACTGGGGTGACCCGCCGAGCTCAGAGGCCGTGCGTCGGGGTTCCCCGCACCCAGCCGCCCTCCCGGCCTCCTCACCTTCCCGGGCCTTGAGAAGCACCGTGTTCGCTACGATGTTCTCGAGCTCCATGGGCTGCGGCGCTGCCGGGCCCGCCGGGCCGCGCCGCCGGCCGGGATCGCGCGCGGGAGCCGGGGCCGGAGGGCGATCGGCGCGGCTCGGCTCGGCTAGCAGTGACCGCACCGCGGCCTCCCGGGCCTCCCCGGCCACCGCCGCCCGCTGTGCACTCCCCGCCCCCTTCGGGAGGGCCGCCCCGGCCCCGGCCCCGCCCCGCCCTCTGTTTACTTTACTCGGCCAATAACTGGGCGAGCGCTCCCCGCGCCGTCTTCCCATTAGACAGCTTCTCCACCTTCCCCACCCCCTGAGCCAGGGTTTCGCTCAAAGAAGTGGGGGGCGGAATTTAATACGTTACCTCGTCTTGGTTGGTCTGCGGTGGGGTTCAGCCCCTAGGTTCGAATTTCTGAGCCTTCATAGGAGAGCGAACTGCCAATTAGGGCCGAGCCCTCTCTAGGACAACGGAGGTGTGCTCTGGGTCACGCCCTGGATACCAGATGTTTGATTGGATAAAGTAAACGTCATTCATTCTCAACCCTACCCTCTGATTGGGTCATCAGAGAGGGATGTGGTCCGCCTTGGCTTTTCCAAGGTTTGTAGAGGATGCATTTGATATCCTAGTCCTCCTGCAAGCGCGCCGAGGACTGATTTGGACCATGTGTCCGGCCGTACTCCTTTAGGTCAGCCCATCCCGCAGGGCGCACGTCAGAAGCGGGAAGAGACTCAGAGGAGGCTGGAGGCCTACCCAAGGGCTCCCTGGCCTCCAGCCCGGCTGCCGCGGGCGTGCCCGCCCCGCCCGAACAGCCGGATGTTGTGATTTCTCTCCACCCACTCGACCTCACCAGCCCTTGGCCTCTGCTGCCTTATTAGGCAGGTCTACCGCCCCAAGACGTTGGGATGAGCTCACGCCCATTTTACAGGTGGGGGACCGAGGCGCCAGAGGTCTAGTGGCTGGCTCCAGGCTGAGGACTAGGGAGGAAACGGAGCCGAAGTTTTACAGCTAATCAACACTTAGCTCAACATCCTGCTCCCTCCACTCTCACTTGACACAGCAGGACACGAGGCTTGCCTAAACAGCGAGTAAGGCACAGCCAGATTCGACTAGGCTTCTCTGATCCCTACCCATTCTTTCATCCCACATACAGAGCTCCCTCTTTGTGACAGGCACTGAGCCAGGTGCTGGGGAATACAGTGGTGTCAGCAAGATGGCCAAACTCCCTGATTACATGCTGGAGAGGGATAAAGGTGATAATCTTACAAACAAATACATGGGATGGTCTCAGAGAGGTTAAGTGGTGTTACTAAGACGTTAAGACAAAATACTAAAAGAGCGAGGGGGAATGGTCTCAGGGTGCCACATGTGAGCAGATCTACCCACACAAGGCTCTGGAGGAACAATTTAAATAACTGCAAATCCTCTGATCCTAGATTAACTTTGGTGTGTTCTAGTAACAGGAAGAAGGCCTATGTAACTTCATGGCCCAGTGGTCTGAGATGAGGTGAACAAGCTAGATCATGGAAGTCTTTGTAGACCGTTTTCCTTAGGTGAAATGCCTTTGAGTGGATGATTTATACTTTAAGAGATCACTCCAGCTGGTGATCTTTTAAGGGGTCCAAGAGCGGAAGCAGAGGAAGCAGTTGGATGGCACCGGAATTCCCAGAGAGTAGATGTCTGAGACCAAGAAGGTGGCAGTGCAGATGGAGAAAAGGGCATGGATCTAGTACACATTTGGGAATAAAAATAAGTACCTTGAGAGAGGCAAACCCAGTGGCCAGTAGGGCAAAAGGCAGGTATGTCACACAAGAAGGCTGTTGTATCCAAGTGAGACCTGAGGGTTATGTGAGAATATGCAGGTTGCAGAGGTAACTGGAATGCGGAGGGAAGGAGCCTTCTGAACAGAGAGCCAGTGCATGTTCAAAGCTCTGTAAAGGAAGGTGGTAAGGGCTCATGTATTCAGCGTCTGAGGGCAGAGCACTGGACTAGAGTTTCAGGTACGCATTGGGCTGGGCAAGGGGGGCAAGAAATGAAGCTGAGACCTTGGAGGGGCCTGGGTCAGTTTGGTCCCTAGAAACCGAATATATACAAATATAATTGGACTTCATTTTGAGGGGAGTGGCTTGCTGCCAAGGGTATTCTAAGGCAGGGAAGTACTGTGATCAGATGTGCTTACTCTGAGCTGCACTGTGGAGGACATGCTGGGGTGAGGAGAGAAGGGCTTAGAATGATTTGTAAACACCTGTTGTTTTGGCTCACAGTATCTGAACACCCCTCGCCTTTGCAAGGAAACCTATGAAATGCCGAGACAGGCCCTGCTTTCCACTAGGGAAATCACAGGGGAGGCAGAATTTTCTCTCTGAGGTTCCTGGTAGCTGGAACATGCTTCAACATTGAATCCAAAGCAAGTAATTAACGTAAGACGTCAAAGCAACCATTGAGGATCCATTATGGAAGCAGGAAGCAGGGGAACAAAAGGAGGAGGTGGTCAAGCCAGGCCTTTCCTGGGGTAGGGGGATTCAATAGGCACCCAAGAGTATCTAGTCAATTCCTTGTCTGCCTAAGTTACCCAAACTGGCTTTGTTGTTTGCAGTCAAGTACCCTGAGTAAGAAAGGTGGGAGGCCTTTTGAGAGGAACCACTGGAGAGAGGAATGACAGTGCCCTGTGCTACAGCAGTGGCCAAGGGGTGCAGACAAGTGGCCAGACTAGGAATGGTCATGGAGCTCAGATGAACAGGACTTGGCAACAGATAGGGGGTGAAGAGGGGAAGATGTCACACACAACTCTCAGGTTCTGGCTTGTCAATCCATTCTCCACCTACAACCAAAATGAACCTTTTTTAAAAGGGAAATCTGCACTGACCATCTAAGATAGACATTTCTAAGAATTTATCCTACAAATATAATTGTACTCAAGCAAAATAAGAAATGAATGTTCAACGTTATTCATTAAAGCATTGTCCAAAAAGATGAACTACATTAATTATCCTTAATAGGAACTGATAAATAAAATTTGATCCTTTCCAGTACAGGAATATTACGTAGCTGTTTAAAAAAAAAAGGTGTGCAGGTGCTTTTCATGTACTGATAAAACAATCTCCAAAATACACTGTAAAATGAAAAAAGCAAAGTGCAGAACAGTGTGTAAGGTTTGCTACTATTTATTTAAAAAGGGTCGGGATAGGCCAGGCTATGGTATAGTAACAAACAATCCCCGAGTTTGGTGACTTAAAACAACAAAAGTTTATTTTTCAGATATGCTACATGTCCAACACAGGTTGCTGGGAGGTGGGGAGGCTCCATTCAGAGCAGTCTCTCAGGGACCAGGATGATAGGGATTCCATCTCAATTTGTGCTTCTGTGATGGCAGACATTAAAATGAAATGTGGTGAATCATACATTGACCCTTAAAGCTTGCACCCAAAAGTGATAGAGGTCACTTCTGCTCACATTTCCTTGGCTGAGGCAAACCACATGGCCACAACTAACTTGGGGAGGGTTGCAGATTGTATTTTCCAAAGATGAGCATTGCAATAAGCTCCCGTTCTGTAGGCACTTCTGCAATGTGACCTAGTCATCACCACAGCAAGAGGTGTGCTTTACTTTCCCTGTTCTTCACTCTGGTCTGTCCTTAGTGGCTCTTGTCATCAGTAGGATCTGGTGGAAGTGATGATGCACATGAGATCTGAGGCTAGTCAGAACAGGCCGTGCAGCCTGGTACGATTGCAAGGCCTGTTTTCCAGAAGCTTCTCTCAGGATGTTCCCTCAGAATCAGCAGCCATGCTGTGAGAAGCCCAGATGTGTAGGTGCTCTGCTTTGATTGACAGTCCCAGCTAAGCCCAGATCTTCTATTCTTCCCAACCTGAGCACCAAACACATGAATGAGGAAGCCTCCAGGTGATTCCAGCTCCTGGCCATTGGAATCAGCCCCAGCCATTCAAAGGTCTCCAACTGAGGTTCCTGCTATGGTGGTGCATAAACAAGCCATCCCTGCTGCATCCTGGCTGAATTCCAGATCCACAAAATCCATGATAATAAAATAGTTGTTTTATGCCAGTAAGTTGGGAGCAGTTTTATGCAGGAATAGATTTCTGGAGTAATTACTATATGCCTGCAAGGAGAATTGAACTGGAAATATTTGGTGAGCAACACTAACAACTACTACAGACAAATTTGCTTCTATCCACATGGGCTACCTCTGGAAAGCCACATGAGGCATGGGAACAGTAGTTGCCTCTGGGAAATGGGAATTAAGTGGCTGGGGATGTGGGGGGGTAGCTTTTCATCACATATCCTTTTGGACTCACATCATGTGGCAGTATTGTTTATTTTAAAAACAATCAACCTAATCTTGTCACTCTTCTGCTTAGAACCCTGCAGAGGCTTCCTGGGGTGGGCAGCCTTTAGGATGGCCCCAGTGATCCTCACTCAACTCCCGGTATTCACACCATGATGTGCTCCCCTCGCCTTGAGTGTCAGTGACTTAATGACTCACTTCTACTGGAAAGAATGCAGCAGAAATGATGGAATGTCACTTCCCAGATTGCAGTACTAAACGACTGGCTTCCATTTCAGGCACCCACTCTCATCCCCTTGCTGGCTCACTGAAGAAAGCTAGCTGCCAGGTTGTAAGTGGCCCAATGGAGAGGCAAGGACCTGAGGTCTCTGGCCAACAGCCTTGTGAGTGAACTTGGAAGTGGATCCTCTCCCAGTCAAGATGACTGCAGCCAGTTCAACAGCGCCCAGGTTCCTGTCCCGCAGAAACTGTGACACAATAAATGTTTGTTGTTCAAGCTTTTTAATTTGGGGCGATTTGTTATCTCTTACTGGCAGCAATAAAGAACTAATATACTTTCCATTACACTTAAAAGTAAAACCCAAACTCCTCCTCATGACCTCCTGAGGCCCAACTGGATCTGGGCCCATGTAGCTCTCATCATCTCACACCCCGCTCCCCCTTGTCATGCTCTGTGGAGGTCATCTGTCTGGAGCACTGTCCAATACAGCAGCCACTAGCCTCACGTGGCTATTTAAATTTAAATTAATTTAAATGAAACAATGAAAATTCAGTTCCTCAGTAACACTAACCACATTTCGGTGCTCAGTAGCCATGTGTAACTAGTGGCTCCCATATTGAACAACACAGAAAATATTCCCATCATCACGGAAGTTCTATCAGACAGCAATGGTCTAGAGGAAGGAGGGGCTTCCATTTGTACAAAGATTCCATGGTGACATCCAGGATGATTGGGAGAAAAACGGTACCACCAACTGAGGAGGAATGAAGGATGGTGGGCTGGATACCTTTTGGTCCCCTAAACTTGTCTGAACAGGCAGTCCCGCCAACACTTGAAATCCATACCCCAAGTCTCTGCTAGAGAAGAGGGGGGTTTGTGCATGTTTGGGTGCTTCTAGACACTTGTGAGCAGGAACCTGATGGCCTCCCACTTCTCCCATAGACCCACACCCTAGATGTAGCAAGACAGAAGACAGAGCAAGAAGATGGTGCCTTCCTGCTCTGGTCCAAAGAAGTTAATGGACAACGTTAGGTGTGCAGAGAGATCTGGGGCAGGTGTCTAGAAATTGCTGAGAAGAGGGAGTATGTCCACATGGGAAAGTTTCTTTGTAAACGTTTGTAGATTGAGCCCCAACCCTATGCCAGCCTCTGCTCTTTCACACGCATTCTCATTCAGACATTTAGGAAGTCTTCTAGACTGTGTGGGTGCCCATCTCTCCCTAAAGAGGTATGGCAATTAAGGTTTAAAGAGGCAAAGCCCCTGACCCATGGTCATGTTGAGGGTCAGTGGCCAAGACGGGATTCAAATTCATTGCTGTTTTTTTCCCCTCCAGTCCTTGTTTCTTTCTAAGGTCATTATTTTCCTATTCTTTAAGCTATTGATTTACAGTTGCTCATGAGGGGTTTTGTTTTGTTTTGCTTTAGGAACTTCCTGTAACCATTTTTCAATTCTGCCATTAGTTAGGAAAGAACTAATATACTTTCCATTACACTTAAAAGTAAAACCCAAACTCCTCCTCATGACCTCCTGAGGCCCAACTGGATCTGGGCCCATGTAGCTCTCATCATCTCACACCCCGCTCCCCCTTGTCATGCTCTGTGGAGGTCATCTGTCTGGAGCACTGTCCAATACAGCAGCCACTAGCCTCACGTGGCTATTTAAATTTAAATTAATTTAAATGAAACAATGAAAATTCAGTTCCTCAGTAACACTAACCACATTTCGGTGCTCAGTAGCCATGTGTAACTAGTGGCTCCCATATTGAACAACACAGAAAATATTCCCATCATCACGGAAGTTCTATCAGACAGCAATGGTCTAGAGGAAGGAGGGGCTTCCATTTGTACAAAGATTCCATGGTGACATCCAGGATGATTGGGAGAAAAACGGTACCACCAACTGAGGAGGAATGAAGGATGGTGGGCTGGATACCTTTTGGTCCCCTAAACTTGTCTGAACAGGCAGTCCCGCCAACACTTGAAATCCATACCCCAAGTCTCTGCTAGAGAAGAGGGGGGTTTGTGCATGTTTGGGTGCTTCTAGACACTTGTGAGCAGGAACCTGATGGCCTCCCACTTCTCCCATAGACCCACACCCTAGATGTAGCAAGACAGAAGACAGAGCAAGAAGATGGTGCCTTCCTGCTCTGGTCCAAAGAAGTTAATGGACAACGTTAGGTGTGCAGAGAGATCTGGGGCAGGTGTCTAGAAATTGCTGAGAAGAGGGAGTATGTCCACATGGGAAAGTTTCTTTGTAAACGTTTGTAGATTGAGCCCCAACCCTATGCCAGCCTCTGCTCTTTCACACGCATTCTCATTCAGACATTTAGGAAGTCTTCTAGACTGTGTGGGTGCCCATCTCTCCCTAAAGAGGTATGGCAATTAAGGTTTAAAGAGGCAAAGCCCCTGACCCATGGTCATGTTGAGGGTCAGTGGCCAAGACGGGATTCAAATTCATTGCTGTTTTTTTCCCCTCCAGTCCTTGTTTCTTTCTAAGGTCATTATTTTCCTATTCTTTAAGCTATTGATTTACAGTTGCTCATGAGGGGTTTTGTTTTGTTTTGCTTTAGGAACTTCCTGTAACCATTTTTCAATTCTGCCATTAGTTAGGACTTTTGATTGCAACTAAAGCTGGCTTAAGCAAAATAGGGAATTTATTGGTTCCAGTAGCTAAAAGTATAGGCAGTAGCTCTGACTTTAAGTGTCTTTAGATTCCAGGTCTCAGATGGTGTCACTCAAAAGTTGTCTTTCCCATATCCTGAATCTGCTTTTAATCCATATTTGCTTTATTCTCAGCTAGGTTTTCCCTCTAAGATGTTAAACATGGCTGCCAGCAGCTCCAAGTTCTTTTCTTACCAAATGTGGCAAATTCTATGGAAAGAAAAAGACTCTTACCTTGATTCCAGCAAAAATCCTGGGGCTGCCTCTCACTGCTTTGATGTGGGTCAGGTGTTCATTTTGAACCAATCTCTGAGGACAGAGAGAGGCAGTATTCTGATTGGCCAGGTCTGGATCACATGCCCACTCGATCCCAGCTGAGGCATGGGGTAAGTCATCTGGAATCAGCCCACCTATGTTAAGTTCTCAAAAGCTGGCTAACGAATCACCCTAAAACTTGTAGTTTAAAATGGTAACAACCAATGAGCATTTCTCACTGTCTCTGAGGTTCAAGAACAATAATATTAAATGTACACCTCAAGACAAACAAATTCAGTAGCAGCTTAGCTGGATAGCTCTGGCTTGAGCTCTTTTGTGAGACTGCAGGCCAGATATTGGCTAGGGCTGCAGTATCCACTTCCAAGGTGGTCCAGGCACACAGGTGTCAAATTGGTTCTGGCTGTTGGCAGCCTTCACTTTCCCTTCACACAGGCCTTTCCGCAAGGTGGCTTGAGTGTCCTCATGGCATGGCAGCTGCCTTTCCCCAGAGTGCTCCAAGAGACCAAGGCAGAAACTGAAATGCCTATTATGACCTGGACTTGGAAGTCAACCACCATCACGTCTGCTGTAGTCTACTGGACCAACAGAACAGCTCTGACTCTGTGTGGGAAGAGACTATACAAGGCCATGAATCCCAGGAGTCCAGGATCAGTGGGGGCCATCTTGGAGACTGACTCCCACAACTTGTCTCCATCCTTCCTGCCCTGTTTGCTCTGCTTTTCCTATGTGTTGGCTTCATTCTCAGGCAGGCTCTTCCTAAGCAGTGACAAAGATGGCCATCAACATCTCCAGGCTCACATTATTAGTAACCTCCGTGGGCAGAAAGCATTTTTTCCCAAAGGTTCTGGCAAAAGTCCCAAGGCTGGCTCTGACTGGCCAAACTTGCATATGCTTATCCCTAAACCAAAGGCTGTGGCCTAGAGATAGCACATTCAGATTGGCCACACCCAGGTCATAACCCCAGACCTAGAACCGAGAGTAGAGTTGACAGCATTAGAGATTCATAGAGTAGATGAAAGAGGAGTGATTCCCAAAGGAAAAATCAGGGTGTCATTACTGAACCAGGGTGAATGGTTGTTGGGCAGGAAAAACAATATATACCCATGCCACCTTCTCTTGTGCTCCAACTGCACACTTTAGCATCCCTTGGTTTAGCATCTTTCTCAAGGGATTATTTACTTTCTTGGCTCACTTTCTGTGGTAGGTAGAACTCTAAGATGGCCTCTAAGATCTCTGGTGTATATATACCTTCTCCTGGTTATTCAATCAAACACGAATCTAGATGTTTCTATTGATGAATGCTGCAGATATGATTTAGGCTCCAAGTCAGTTTACCTTAAAATAGGGAGATTATCCTTGGTGGGCATGACCTAATTAGGTGAGCCCTTAAATGGAATGGAGTTCTTCCTGGCAAAGCAGATTCAAAGTGTGAAAGAGTCAACATGGGGGAGATTGTCTAGATTGTCTGTTGTTGGCCTGAGAGATGGAGGGGGCCAAATGGCAAGAAATTCAGATAGCCTCTATGAACTGAGGGTGGCCCCTGGCTGACAGCCTTCAAAGAAACAGGGACCGAGGTCCTACAAATGCAAGGAACTGAATTCTGTCAATGACCTGAATGACCTTCTAATTGGATTTTTCCCTAAAGTATCCAGAAAACTTCATCTCAGTTTTGTGATACTGTGAGCAGAAAATCCTGTCATTAGTGAACTAATAAATGGGAATTTTTTTAAGCTTAGAGGTTTGTGGTTAATTTCAGACAAAAAGAGAAAACAAATATACTTCTCCAGGGACTCTAAGATCCTTAAAGTAAAGATCTTCTCTTGATCTCCTTAATCTCCTCATTCGCAACAAGACCAAAAACATAAGAAAATCCCTCTTCCTGCTTCCTGTCCCATTATCTGGGAAAGAGAGGGGGAACCCAGCTCCTTCTACCTTCACCCACCAACTCCAAACTCACCTGGGCTTGGGGGCCTACCAAGGAAGCTGTTCTGCTTTGCCTTCCACAACCTGTGTACCCCCAGGCCCAGGAGGGCAGCTTTACCAATCTCTGCTTCCTAGGCCTCAGGGACCTTTGACCTATGACCAATTCTATTGATCTGGACTCTTGGGAATGCAGTTGGACCAAAGGACAGATGCCATGAAGGTTGTGCTGCTCCTGGGGTCCCTGCTGGTGAGCCTGGAGTCAGCGCTTTTGGTAAGGGCTATGGAAACCAGGATTGTGCTGGGGTTGCATAGCCTTGGTCTCTGTGCATGACCTTTGGGTCCAGATGACTAGAAGGCCTGTTTGGAAGGTGAGGACAGCTCATAAGGCCCAGGTGGAGGAGAGAGAGAAGCAGAGCTAGTGGATATGAGGACACAGCATGCATTTCTGGGTTGTTAAAGGAAGCTGGGGACTAGCATGGGATCAGAAGCAGGTTATGCCTTTCTGGAAAAATTCTCTGCCCTTTTCTCTCCCCGTGTAGACTCCACCTTGGAAAACCCCCAGGCAGCATAAGCACAGAGCAGATGAGCACACAGTAGGTAAGTGATCTGACTCTGCCTCCTTGGAGACTCCTGGATGGGAACAAGTATGAGAGGTAGTTTGCAAGTGGGCGGTCTTGGGCCCTTGGAATGAGGGAATTGGTCTTGAGTACTCTTCACTCTCTTCTCTGGAGTTGTCTGCCTGGGGTCAAACTGAGTGCCTACTAATGTGCTAGATCTTACTCCCATGGGCACCAGGGACCCAGAGTGATAGTGAGCTATGTGCTTCTTGAGAGCAGGGCTTGGGCTGTAGCTGAGTGCCCAGTCCAGCACCTCCTGCCTTCCTCAGTTTCTCCCATCTCCCTCTTCATTTCCTTCATCACTGCACTCTCGGGCATCAGTCATGCCACAGAGGCCAGGACCCTCACTAGATGAGGAAAGATCTAGAGCAAAGCTCTGGAGCTCAAATGCATCTGAATCCCAGCTTCATCACTTACAGTAATGCAGGGTGACTGGGCATGTGGTTTGACCTCTTGAAGCTTCAGTTTCCCCATCTGTAAAACTAGGCAGGTAATAGTAAATGTCTTAGGGTTGTGGAGAAGGGAAAATGAATAGTTAATCCACGTGAGGCACTCTGTCCACAGTCTAGTGCAGGGTAAAATGCTTAAAACATATTAGCTTTTATTGTCAAGCTGCCTTTTAGCTGGGGAATGCCTGCTGACTCCCCTGTCCTCTCACCCTGTCATAGCTCCACTGCCTTCATCATTTCCAGGCACCAAATATTTACCTAGAGTTGTGAACTAGATGGACCCTGCCCTGGTGAACCTGGCCCGGTCAGGTCAGGCTCCAGCCCCTTAGCCCGGCCTTGAGGCCCAGCATATCCACCACTGCCAGGCTCAGCGTCCTCTCCTCATCACTCCACTCCCAGCCTAACTGCTCTCTTGCCTCCTGCTGATCCAGCCTAGGGCCCTTCCCTTACCCACGTACCTGTGTAGGCTCCTCCTCTCTGTCCCTTCCAGTTACATCTTGAAGGTCTATCCCAAGCCCTTCTCTTTTCCTTTCCTGTCCCTAGTTTAGCTCTCAACAAGTGCCACTGTGCCTGTAACAGTGAAACAGAAGTCAGTTCTTAGCCAGCACGGCCTATGCGCCAGACTCTGTACTAAGTGTTTAATAGGAAGTATCTCCTTCTAACTTCACAAAACTCCTCTGAAGTAGATACAGTCTTATCTCATTATTTGTGGTAGTCATGTTCTATAAAGTAACCTTGAACACTGAATTTGCAAATACTGAACTATTGCTTCTAGAGGAAATATGGAGTTAGATTCCTATGAACTCTGGTCACAACATTTTGTTTGTTTGTTATCATTAATCTACAATCACATGAAGAACATTGTGTTTACTAGGCTCCCCCCTTCACCAAGTCCCCCCCACAAACCCCATTAGTCAGTGTCCATCAGCGTAGTAAGGTGCTGTAGAATCACTACTTGTCTTCTGTGTGTTGTACAGCCCTCCCCTGCCCACCCCCAACATTATACATACTAATCGTAATGCCCCCTTTCTTTTTCCCCGCCCAGTCACAACACTTTTATCGACCATCAATATATAACCTTGTTTTAAGTGTGGTTCTGTTTAAAGACACCTTACTTAATATATTGTTGATTCATTAATATTGAACTCATGGCCAGCGGCACTATAACTCATGCCTGGAGGAAGTTTATCTAACACACAAACATTCCCAGAAAGCATGTCACAGCCCTCTTGCATGTTAGGACCACTAGGGAGCACTTCAGCACTATATTTGGGGGCTATTTTCAACAGCAAAATTATCTACCAAAAGCACAAAATTTTAAAAATGTGCCCCTCCATGAACTGAAAAGGGTGCTTGCTTACAGCAGAAGAGCTGAAATAAGAGCATCACCTTGTGTCACCTCCGCTGTGAACGTGTGCTTTGGGTGACTCAAATTTTTCACCACTCTACATCACCACTCAAGTGCCCCTGAAAGCACCTTGAGAACTGGTTTGGAGGTTACAAATACATTTTAGCAAGAAGGCAGATTCACAAATACAGAATCTGTGAGTAATGAGGTTTGATTGTACTATTTTTAAAAATTATAACAGCAATATTTTTATTGTAAAAAACTTAAGAAATTGCAGAAGTGCAAGAGAAGAAAAATGTCCTCCATAATTCACTGCCTGCCAAAAAAAAAATCTCTTACAAACCTGGGGGAGAAAGTCCTAGATTTCTTTTTCTATACATATGTAAATATATTCATAAAAAACCAGGACCATATTTGACATGCTATTTTTAACTTGCTTTTTTTCATTTAAAGTTATGAACACATTTCTGTAATAATCTATCCACACCATTCAAATGTTTTTGTTGTAATATACACATAATATACATTTCACTATCTTAACCATTTTAAGTGTACAATTCCACGGCATTAAGTACATTCATATTGTTGTGCTGTCATTACCACCATCCATTGCTGAATTCTTTTCATCTTGCAAAATGGAAACTCTTTGACTATACTGTAATTATCACCATTTTACAGATGAGGAAACTAAGGCTCAGAGTGTTCAAGTGACTTCAACATTCAGCAAGTGTCTACTAAATGCCTACTTTGTGGCAGGCACTCTTCTAAGCCTGGGGGCTGCAAACTTGCCCAAGATCACACTATAGTAGGTGGTGGAGCCAGGAGTCCACTTCAGCTGTCTGACTACTGAAACCAACCTCTTAAGCAGGAAGTGGCTGAAGGCACAATCTTTTTGTGGATCTATCCTTTTTCCAAACTGCCCCTGAGGGGAGGTGCTTGGGCAAGGGGGCACAGGGACTATTGTTAGGGAGTGTGTTATTCCTGCAGTGCTCACCGTCACTGGGGAGCCCTGCCACTTCCCCTTCCAGTATCACCGGCAGCTGTACCACAAATGCATCACTAGGGGCCGGCGTGGCCCCCTGCCCTGGTAAGACCATCCAGAAAGGGTTGGAGCAGGAGCCTGGGGGAGTTGGTCTCTGTGCATCCCTCTGCCCCAGGAACCCTGCTTGGAGAGAGAGGGCTATAATAGGGGAAGGTGGGCCAGCCGCTCAGACAGAGCAAAAAAGCCTCATCTCTTTCTACAGGTGTGCTACCACCCCCAACTTTGAGCAGGACCAGCAATGGGCATACTGCCTGGAGCCCAAGAAAGTGAAAGGTGCCACACATAGCTTTTGGGGTGGCCCAGGGCCTTCTCCTCCCCCCTAGTTACTTTCCTGGGTATCATCAGACCTAATACCCCTGGGATTCTGGGCCCATCCCGCCCCTTCCTTCCCTCCAGAGGAAGAAGTTCTGGGAGGGGGTAGCCCCATTTTGCAGGTGGGTAAACTATGGCTTGAAACTTAGAGTGCCAGGGTCACAAGACAGGCAGGTTTGGGTAGGGACTTGGCCGTCTGCCTCACTCAGTCTCCTCGCTCTTCCTATACCTTGCCCCTCAGACCACTGCAGCAAACACAACCCCTGCCAGAAGGGGGGGACCTGTGTGAATATGCCAGGAGGCCCACACTGCATCTGTCCAGAACACTTCACTGGGAATCACTGCCAGAGAGGTAAGGAGATGCTGAGGCTTGGAAGGGAGTGCTGGTGGGGGGGTCCCTGGATCCCAAGAGACTTGGCATGGTCCCAGCCTCTCCGTAGACCACCCCTCTGCCTTTGTTCCCAGAGAAGTGCTTTGAGCCTCAGCTTCTTCAGTTCTTCCATGAGAAGGAAATTTGGTACAGGCTTTGGCCAGTAGGTGTGGCCAAGTGCTGGTGCAAGGGTCCAGATGCCCAATGCAAGCAGCTGGCCAGCCAGGGTAAGTGGATGGGGCCGGAACTGGCCAGGAAGGAAGAAGGTGGAAAGTTCTGGAGGAGAAAGTGGCAGGGGTCCGGGTGGCCTGCCCAAAGCAGGGGGGGAAGTTCTCTGGGGGAGTCTTTGGGCCCAGAGGTGGCTCAATGCTCTCCTTCTCCCAGTCTGCAGCAGTAACCCTTGCCTCAACGGGGGCCACTGCCTAGAGGCAGATGGCCACCGCCTATGCCGTTGCCCTGCGGGCTATGCCGGACACATTTGCGATGTGGGTGAGTCAGGGTCTTGGGGGAAGCAGAAGCCCATCCCCCACCTAGGAACGGCTTGCGCAAAGGTATGAGGGAGAATGGGCAAAGCGGGTAAGAGGGCGGCGGGAAACCACACCATCTGCTGGCTGCAGCGAGCCTCCTCTCTCCCCAGACATTGGCGCGAGCTGCTACTACGGTCGAGGGCTCAGTTACCGCGGGGCTGCCAGGACCACCATCTCGAACGCACAGTGCCAGCCATGGGCCTCGGAGGCCACCTACCGGAACGTGACAGCAGAGCAAGCCCTGAAATGGGGACTGGGCGACCATGCCTTCTGCCGGTTCGCCGGGTGGGGGGCGGGACAGGGCATTCCCTCCTGTCCAGGGCCCTCTGAGGCTCCTCACGTTCAAATAGCGCCCCCTTCACCCCTCTCCTGTGGTTACAGGAACCCGGACAATGACACCCGCCCGTGGTGTTTCGTATGGAGCGGCAACCGGCTGAGCTGGGAATATTGCCGCCTGGCACAATGCCAGGCCCCAGCCCCAACGACACCCCAGATCCCGTCTCTAACTGGGATCCCCTCTGGGCATCAGGACCTCACCTTGCCCTCGCTTCCCGCATTGCAGAAGCCTCCGCCCACGCCTGCAGGTGGTTGGAAAGGGGCGGGAAGCGCGGGCAGAGAGGGCGCGGGGTTAGCAACATTCCCAGCGCATTTTGGGTCTCCTTGTTCTCAGGCTGGGCTCCTCACGCAGCCTCGCGCGCGACATCCCAGGCGCCGACTACTCTGCCCAGCACGGGCTTGGCGGGCTGTGGACAGCGCCTCCGGAAACGGCTGTCCTCGCTAAGCCGCGTCGTCGGGGGACTGGTGGCGCTGCCCGGCGCACACCCCTACATTGCCGCACTGTACTGGGGCCACAATTTCTGCGCCGGCAGCCTCATTGCCTCCTGCTGGGTGCTGACCGCGGCTCACTGCCTCCAGAACCGGCGAGTAACCGCCCTCCCAAGCCCCGCCTGGGACCCTAGCTCCCCTTCCCTCCTACCCAGCTTCCGAGAGACACCCGAACCCCTGCTTTACCTTCCCACCCTGCACCACTGTTCCCCCCACCCCTCACTTCCAGAGCTACCCAGGAGAAGCTGATACCCAGGCAGGAGGCATGTGGCCGGCTGGCCCTGAGCATGCTTCCTCTCCTCCATTCCGCCCACAGGCCGGCGCCCGAGGAGCTAACTGTGGTGCTTGGCCAGGACCGCCATAACCAGACCTGCAAGCAGTGCCAGACGCTGGCCGTGCGCGCCTACCGCCTGCACGAGGCCTTCTCACCCATCACCTACCAGCACGACCTAGGTGCGTGCGGATGCCCCTGTGGGGGCCAGGGGAAAAAGGTGGGGAGGGCTCAGAGCACTGGCTCCTCTGTCTCACACTCCTTCCCGCCTGGGTTAGCTCTGCTGCTCCTGCAGGAAAGCGCTGACGGCCGCTGCGCGCTCCCGTCGCCTTTCGTTCAGCCCGTGTGCCTGCCCAGCCACGCCGAACCTGAGGCTGCGCTCTGTGAGGTGGCTGGCTGGGGCCACCAGTTCGAGGGTAGGCAGAAGAGCCAGGGCTGGGAGGGGAGACCACTGGTCACCTGGATAGGCAAGAGAAGCCTGCAGTTTTGGTTCCACCAGCAACAAGTGGGGCTGACCTGGTGGGTTGTGCGGACATGCAAGGCCCTTGTCTCTGCAGCCAGCACCTCTCAGGCCTGTTGGAGGGCCCCAAGTCTTCTGAGGGGTACAGGGAGAATCGCACTTTCCCTTGGTTTCCTCTGACCGCTAGGCTACAAGGGCTAACCAGGATGCCGGCCTTGGCACTCCAACAGTCAGTGGACTATTTGGGGAGCAAGGTTCTGAGACACTGGACAGAAGTGGGGGTGGAGGTCCAAATGGGTCCTGCTTCACCCAGCCTATTCAAATAGTGACTCCTCTCTGGCTTCAATGTCCTTGTCTATGAAATGGTGTAGATAGCAGTTCCCTCCCTCTTGGGCTTGTTGCTGGGGAGGAAGATCAGTGGGTTTAGAAGAACATGGAGCAGCCTAGTCCATCGCCCAGATGGCTGGCGGAATCGCGAGAGGTGTGAGGAAGGTGTTGTTGGTTCCTAGGGGCTGAGGAATATTCCAGCTTCCTGCAGGAGGCCCAGGTGCCGCTCCTCACTCGTGAACTCTGCTCCACCCCTGGTGCGCATGGAACTGCCTTTGCTCCTGGCATGCTCTGTGCTGGCTTCCTGGAGGGCGGCACTGATGCATGCCAGGTGAGCCCTTAGGCCTGCTGGGTGCCCTCCCTTAATCCCATCAAGTGCAGACCCCAGGCCAAGAGCTGATTGTCCCCTACCTACCCGACCTAGGGTGACTCTGGAGGCCCACTGGTGTGTGAGGACGAGGCTGCTGGGCACCAGCTCATCCTGCGAGGCATTGTCAGCTGGGGCTCAGGTTGTGGTGACCGCCATAAGCCTGGTGTCTACACAGACGTAGCCAACTACCTGACCTGGATCCGGGAACACACCAGTTCCTGACTGCCCAGGTCTTCCCCCCCTGGGCGATTCTGGAATGGGAGGGTGACTGGGGAATGATTGTGAACTGCAAGGGCAGTGTTGCATTCCTCCATTACCATGAGCCCAGGGCAAGGCATGGAATAGGCACTCAATAAAGTGTCTTTTGAAAATGCTTGAGAGGCATAGTTCTACAGTGGTCTCACTGGAAATGCCAAGACAGCAAACTGTGTACTTCTCTACATCCCTCAGAACATGATCTATAGAAATCTTAAGCAAGATTTATTTAGATTCATGTCCATTCTTACATTTACTGAGCTGTAGTGTGTACCAAGCCCTGTGCAAGGTAACACCACATATTATTCTTCCTATGAAACTTAACATTTTAAGTTTATAGAGCAGCTGTTCTCAATCTCAACTGTACATCAGAATCACCTGGGAAGCTTTTTGAATTTATGCCCAAGACTCACCTCAGGTCAATTAAATCAATATCTCTAGGGATGGGACATGGGTAATAGTATGTTTTTAAAATGCCCCAGGCGATTTCATGTGCAGCCGAGGTTGAGAACCATGGTTAGAAATGCTTAACATTAAAACAGTGGTATAGACCCTTACGGCTGGCCATGTGGAAGACTCTCACCCCACCCCCACCCTCACCCCGACAGGGCACTAGGGGAGTGGGTTTCAAAGTGTGGCTCTTGGACCATCAGCATCCCCAAAGATCTTGTTAGAAATGCATATTCTGTGGCTACATCCCATACTACTTAATCAGAAACTGAGTTGGGGCCCAGCAATCTGTTTAACAGCACCTCAGGTCAATTAAATCAATATCTCTAGGGATGGGACATGGGTAATAGTATGTTTTTAAAATGCCCCAGGCGATTTCATGTGCAGCCGAGGTTGAGAACCATGGTTAGAAATGCTTAACATTAAAACAGTGGTATAGACCCTTACGGCTGGCCATGTGGAAGACTCTCACCCCACCCCACCCTCACCCCGACAGGGCACTAGGGGAGTGGGTTTCAAAGTGTGGCTCTTGGACCATCAGCATCCCCAAAGATCTTGTTAGAAATGCATATTCTGTGGCTACATCCCATACTACTTAATCAGAAACTGAGTTGGGGCCCAGCAATCTGTTTAACAGCTTTCCAGGTTTTGATGCTCATCTGAGACCCACATCCTGGGGATTGGATGGTTACCAGGCAAGAGGTCTAGCTGTCCACACAGGGCAGTTTTTTGTTTTAAACCCATTCATACTGTGCTTGATGAGCCATTTAAGTTGGTTTTTGAAGGTTATCCAGACTCTTATGCAATTTCCTCCTTCAGACTAACTGTAGACTTCACTAGTTCTCCTAGAGCTACTCCCTTCCCCCCAACCACATTCTCCAGTGTAGATAGTCTCTCTGTGACATCACCATGCCTCAAGTCACAATCCCGCCCCCATATACATCACACTCTGAGTCGCGATGGGTGACTGGAAAGGCTACATCAGTGCGGTGCTGCGGGACCAGCGTATAGATGACGTGGCCATCGTGTGCCACTCGGACAGTCGCTGCGTGTGGGCGTCACGACCTGGGGGCCTGCTGGCGGCTATCTCACCTCAGGAGGTGGGTGTGCTCACAGGGCCTGACAGGCGCACCTTTCTGCAGACGGGCCTGAGCGTGGCAGGTCGCCGCTGCTGCGTCATCCGCGATCACTTGCTGTTGGAGGGCGACGGAGTGCTGGACGCGCACACCAAGGGGCTGGACAGGCGTGCAGTCTGCGTGGGCCACACGCCACGTGTGCTGCTTGTGCTCATGGGCCGACAGGGTGTGCATGGGGGCATCCTCAACAAGACTGTGCACAAGCTTATCCACGGGCTATGCATGCAGGGCACATAGCAGGACAGCCAGGCTGCCTGGGGCAGGGCCAAAATAAACTCTGTACCTGGGTTTGACCGGCTCATCTTAGGGCTGTGTGGAGGGAGTTGCAGATGAGGAAACTGGTTTACCTTAAGATTCTTGCAGAAGGGTTATATGGTAAGGCTAGGATACAGACACATCCCAGCCTCCTGTGCCCTACACCTGGCCCTCCCATCCATGTGTGCCTTGCAGAGGCCTCTGGCCTGACTCGCCAGGCCGTAGTCAATGGGTCTAGGCACCTTCTCAGTGTCCTAAGGACACTGCAGCTGAGGAAGAGTCCCAGGGAGTGGCCTTCTCAAACTCTCTAGCTCAGGCCTTAACACACTTTCTCAAAAAATTTTGCACAGTTCTGTGCAGAACCAACTGTAAAGGGAACCCCTTCCTACCCTTTTACACCCCTCCCCAGACACACAGGAGCTAGGATCTGTGGCATCAGGGAGTCAGGCGGGAGGTTGGTTCTTTTTCACCCACTCCAGTTGGCATGAGGAAGCACCAGCAAGGGTGGTAAGCAGGTGGAGTGGGGCTGGTAGCTTGGAGAGCCTCTCTGGGGCTCTCAGGCCCATGTATCTCCACCAGCATATCTCAGAGGGGATGGTAGGGGGACACATGTCCAAGACCATCTCAACCAGGCTGGGGCCCTAGAGCCTTCCTGCCCCCTTGGGGCCCAAAGGTCACAGAGAACTCCCTGAACTAGAGGGAGGAACTTTGGCATCCCCCACCCCTTGACCCTCACCCTGCAGGCCTCAGCTCCAGGGACCCTATGGGGAGGAGGAATTGAAAGTTTAGGTGGGTTTAAATGAGGCCTGGTTATTGTCCAAAGGTAGAGGACAAAAGTGGGAGGAGGGTGGCTAGTCATCCAGGACATGACCTCTCTTATTCATTTCTACCCTCCCTGTCCCCATTCCCTGCCCTAGTGTCACCCACAAGTCCCCACCTGTCACTTATTTTCTGGAGCACTGATCGTATCCCAGAAAGAGGGAGAGAGTGAGGAAGTGAGGTGAGTCCAGAGGCAGGGAGAGATCACAGGTCAGCCTGTTGAGGTCTGGGGATGGAGGTGCAGAGAGCCCTCCTTGCAACTTAGCTTGGGGGTGGCCCCAGTCCCCAGGGGCTAGCTTCCAGGGAGTCTGAATCAGGGATTGAACTCATTAAAGCAGGGCAAGGTGGATTGTTTGGGTGATCTTGCAGGAGATAGTGCTGCTGAACCCCAAGTTATGGTCTCTCCTGCCTCCCTAGATGGAGAGCAAACAGATTTGCAAATGCATAATGAGAGTTTAATTCCTTTTCATCAGGCAGTGTTGGGGAATAGGATTGTAGTGGTGGTGTAGAAAATCTGGGTGTGAATGATGAGAATGGTATCATGGAGGAAAGAAGGTGGCAGGGAGGGGGGTGAGAATTCAGCCAGTGACTCACATCCACATCTATACACAAGCAAACAGCTGCAAGTCACTTAGTCAGACCCACCCTTACTCTAGACCAGCCCAGTTGGAGTTCTGTGTACACAAAGACACAAGCCCAGTCTCCCAGCACATGTGCAAAGGACTCGAAATCATACTCAGGCATCCCGCAGCCTGCACACAGTCCCCCACAGGGGCATCAGTACACACATACAGGCTGACACATGGACTCACCCGAACATGTCCTCACATGTACACACCCCGACTCTCAGACATACAAGCCCAGGCTTCTGAGGACCTGCACAATGACAGGCGCATGCCCAGAGTGCACAGACACACTCCTCTGCCCATCTATCCTGGGCACCAGGTGTAGGCCCTTCTCTGCCCCAGGTGGCAGTCTGGGCACAGGCTAGAGGTGAGTGGCATTGAGGCGAGCAGGCAATGCCAGCCGGGGGGAGGGCGTGGCAGGGGGCAGCTCCTCCAGGAAGACCCTGGTTGGCAGAGGGGGTGAGCGGGGCTCAGGCCTGGCACAGCACAAAGTGGCACGGGTGATGAGGTGGTCCAGGGGCTGCAGGGAGTGCATCCAGAGGGGCAGGAAGTCCCATGTCTGTAGCCACTTGGGCAGGCGCCCAGGGCTGCGACTCTGCAGGATGCTGACGAGCACCACGAAGGCCAGCAGGGCCCCAAATGGTGTGCCCACCCCTACCATGGCCTGCCAGCCTGCCATGGAGATGCCAAACACCAGCGAGGGCAGAAGCAGGAAGCACAGGAGCAGATAGAGGACAGCAAACCAGCGGTACTTGGCCGTGCGCTTGCCCAGGGCCTTGGCCATGCGGACAGGCAGGCGAGTGCACGGCACTGGGTACCACAGCAGGATGCCCGAGATGTTGAAGAAGAAGTGGCAGAGAGCGATCTGCAGGGCAGAGGAGCCAAGGTGGGCATGGGCCCCAGCTCTTGGGTCAGGCTGCTGAGGATAGATAATCGGGGCCCAGCCTGGTCTGGGCAGCAGGAAAGTCACCACTTGGTGCTGACCTGCTCCCAGTTAAATATTGAAATACTTCTGAATCAGTTGGTGAGTAACTGCTGCCTTGAACTCTCCAGGTTTCTCCCTCCCTCAGGAATTCCCCAATATATGCTGCCCAAATCCAGCACTAAAAAATTCATATTCATTTTTCTGGCTCAGCAGCTCCTGATTGGTCTGCGTTCTGGCCCCAGCCCCTGGCTCGCCATTACTCCTTCGCTCCTAGAGCAGCAGCCCCTTTACCATCTGTCCCCCTACTCATCTCTGATCCCGCATACTGGGCCAGCACCACTTCCTCAGAGTGCCAGTCCCACTCTCTGCTGTTTATTGGTGTGATTATCTCTCTCTGCCTGTTAGATGCTACGGTCTTGGGGAAGGCACCAGGTTTGCTTTGCCCATTTCATTTCCACAGAGCTTGGTGTAGTGGATGGCCCCTAGTAGGCAGTCTAAAACTATTCACTGCATGTTGTCCCAGCCGGGTCAGGGGCCACGGCCCGGTCGCAGCCCAGTCCTGCCTCTGGCAGGACACTCTCATAGGCATACCTGGAACGCACTGGACAGCTTCTCCCTTGGGCTGGCCAGTGCAGCCAGGATGGCCGTGGTGGTGGTGCCAATGTTGGAGCCCAGTGTGAGGGGGTAGGCCCGCTCGATGCTGATCACACCCAGGCCTGGGGGGCAGACAGGACATGGTCTCCCCAGCTCCCTCCTGCAGCCTTTCCTGCCAGCTTCACCCCACCGTGCGTTGGCACGATCACTCACCAATGAGAGGGGTGATAGCTGAGGTGAACACAGAACTGCTCTGGACAATAAAGGTCATGCCGGCACCCACCACCATGGCGAAGTAGCCTGTGGCCCAGGTGAAAGGGGCAGGGAAGTCTGCAAGGAAACCCCCATTCCAGCAGGGTCAGTGGGAGAGCACTGGGAGAGAAGCAAGGACTTTAAGAGGAGGTAGTGTACACCAGCTGCTGTGTGGGGAAAGTCAGTACCCTGCTCAGCTGCAGTGGCTTCTACCTGCCCACTTTGATCTTGGATTAAAAGGCCCTTCTCAGCTCGATTCCATCACACTTACTCAGGCTGTTCTCTCTGTCTGGATATCCTTCTTACTCCTAAATGTTAATCCTTGGGGCTCAACACAGATATCGCCACTGCTGGAAAGCCCTCCCTGACCCCCACAGCCCTTGGGCAGACTCCCTCTTCTCTGTGCTCCTATGGGATGCACCTCAGTCTAGCATTTGACATGTGGTCTCTGCCAGTGCCAAGCAGTGTCCTAAAACCTTAGAAGGAAGCTCAAAATGAAAATCAGATGGTGCGACTCCCTTGCCCCCAAATCCCCGAGTACTCCCATTATCCTTAAAGTCCAGGCTCTGAACACAGGCTGCAGGGCCCTTGTGATGTGCTTCATCTGTTACCTTCCTGGCTTCACCCTGCCTTGCTCACGGAGCTCCCATCACATATTGCCACCTTTCCGTATAAACCTGCTCAGCTGGTTTCTACCCTGGATACTTTGCACTTGCTCTTCCGGCCACCAGGAACACTCCTTAGCCATGTCTGACTATTCATTTAGGTCTCTGCTCAAATATCACCTCCTCACAGAGGCCATGATGGCCCATTAAAAGCAGCCACTTCCCACTCTGTCATTTTTGCTTTCTCCTTGGCAGTTCTGTTCTCTCTCTCCTTTTATCTGGATTTATCCCATTTTAATAATTTATTTTTCATTGTCCATCTTCCCCTCTGGGCTGTGAGCCTCCTGAAAGAAGGATCTATCTCTGCATGGCTCATCTGTGTATCCCTAGCACTACACCATGCTCCGCACACAGTAGAAGCTTAATGACTACTTGTTGATTGAATCAAACGAAGGTGTCTGAGAATCTCTAAAGTCACATGCTAGACTGGAACAGCAGCCAGAAGAAGCCACAGATCCCTAGGTGTTACTACCTCAGGGGCCTCAGAAATCACCCATTCCAAACTTCTTTGCTCACATGGGAAACTGAGGCTCAGAGATGATAGGGCTTTACCCAGATTACAGGGCAGGGAAGTGGCAGGACTTAGTGAGATCTGGAAGGACCCATCCTGGGGGCAGCCCACCCACAGCTCAGGGCTCACCAGTGTTGATGACCTTCTGAATGACCTTAGCCACCTGGCCCTTGAGCAGAGAGTTGAGCATCTTGACGAGGAGGATGAGGCAGGTACATAGCAGCACCAGGGAGCCAGCCAGAAGGATGAGCCCCACGGCCAGGTCAGGCAGCCCTGTGTCCACAAAGATGTGGTTACCTACAGGGGAGCAGGGGAGCAAGGGTGTCAAGCTGCTGAGAGCTGATCTCCCCACAACCAGTTCCCAGTCCACCATCTTTGCCATCCCCTTGGGATCAGAACCTAAGCCCCCACTTCAGACTTCTTCAGCCTCAACTGCACGGCCTGGCCCCAGCCCAGGAGCTGGCCTGGTTGGCAGCTGTCCTTCCTGGGGCTGGAAGAGCAGTGGCCTAGCTGGGGAGCAGCCCTGACTGCCTCTGCCAGGCTTTGCTCTTGCCATGCCAGGCATCTCCCATGCTGTAGCTCTCACATTTCTCCATAGTGACATTTCCAAGGATCCAGCTGGTGTTGGCCTCTGCCCTGGGCATGGGGGTGGCAGCCTAGATAAGAGGAAAGTGACTTAGAGAATTGAGGAAAATGCAGCCTGGGGTTGGGCCTAAGATGGGGGTTAGGGAGACATGGGGTGTAGGGAGTAGAGGGGAACCTCTTGGCTACATGCCCTTGGTCAATTTGATTGCCCTCTCTGAGCCTGTCTCCTCTGCTGAAGAGGTAGGGGTGAAAATACCTGCGGCAGGAGAATCTGGACATGGTCAGCCCTCCAAATATTCTGATCCATTGCTCCACCGATCTGGCTCTCCGTGGGGCCCGCAGAGCCTCCTGATCTGGCTTCTTGTTCTCATTTTCTTCTGCCTCTCCTTGGCATTGCATGCCAGCAGCCTCCTTCTAAATTCTCTTCCTTCCTCAACTTTTATTACCAGTGCTTCTCATGGTGGCCCCCACTTGCCCAGATCCTCTCCCCATTAGCCCAGGCTCCATCTTTCTCTCACTCAACTCCTGATGTGGAGGAGTTCAGGGTCAGTCTGAGGGGGTGGGAGACACCCCTGGGGCAGAAATCCAGGCCCCACATCTCCCCTCCCCCAGTGCAGTTCAGAGTGCCCAGGGCCAGGCAGGCAGCCTAACTAAGGGGCTCAGGTTGAGGACAGAGGTGGAGAGACTGTGTGCTAGGCTTGTAGAGGCAGGGGCTACTCAGCACCGAGCCACAGGTCACCATCCAAGGACACGGCCCAGCATGGCCAAATGGCCCAATTCTACACAAGAAACCACAATTCTTGAAATTTTTGATTGAAATTTCCCAATGTGTAAATGTTGGCGACCACTTTAAGATATACTTTATAATTTTGCCAAGGCCAGTCTGCTCTGGGACCACTAATCTGTAGCCTCATTGGATTGAGGAGTTAATTTTTCTCAATGCAACCTGGGGCACCTTACCTTTCCCCCAGGGTCCTAGCAGTGGAAGGAGAAAGTGGCCTAGGCTTAGTTGGGGAGAAGTCATCTCATAAAGGAGGAACGGAACCCTAGGGCCCCAGACAAAATGCAGGAGCTCCAACTTTTTCCTGTTCACCACATTCTGCCTCTGGGAGCTGATATGAGCCCTGGTCCCCTTCCCCAGGGAGCTCTGCCTCCCACACCCCTCAGAGCTCCCTTGGTGC